CCAGTAGAGGTGGATTGACACAGTAACTGGGATAATAAGGGTAGGTGACAGAGACAGAAATTGGCTCAGGATAGAGCAGGGTTCAGAGCTATTGTGCATAGGTTGCTATGATTCAGAGTTGACGTATTCATTGTCCAGCTTTTTGATGTACCACAAGTAATTGTGAAGACCTTCGCCTGGATCAGGTGCATCTTAGTCTCTAGATTGACATCATTGCTTTTTAGCCCTCTGGAAAAGTCCCTCACAGCAGATCTTCGCAGTGTAATTCACCATTTGATTTCCTAATTGCTGATGCCAAGAGTGTTGATTGTGGACTTAACAAGATGAATTTGTTAACAATCTCAAATCTCTTCTCCATCATTCATGGTGCTGCCATTGGGCCCAGTGATGAGAATATTATTTTAACATGGAAGTAGCTCTCTGGAAGTCTGTCTGTCCTGTGTCTTTTAAATGGATGTCTTGGGTGAAGATAATGAATGTATCTTTTAAAAATTCCAGATTTTATATGCACAGCTAAATATATATTCAAACATCATCCTACATGTTTATGATTCATATTTTGCTCCTATGGTTGGATTTGTTCCTATTTAATGCCATTTTCTCCGCAGTATTAGCCTGTTGTTTTTTCTTTTTATAACTAGCACTCTAATATGTTAGTTCTCCCTGAGAACCACAAGAAGGTGCCTGGACTTAGTACCATGTTTCATTTATAAAGATGGGAAAGACAGTATTTCTAGTGTTTGGAGAAATAAGAATTCTCTTCTGAGTGTGATAACTTTGAGATTTCTTAGAGACACCTCTATGGGAAGGGAAGTAAATAAGATCTTCTAGTTTGGAGCTGAAAGGAAAGCTATGATCTGTTGATACTAATTTGAGAAAGAATTGAAATATTATAGATACTATTTACAGGAATGGAATCTGTGATCATATACAGTACAGTGTTGTTGTCTGAGAAAAGTATTAAGAACCAAGTCCTGAAGAACTCCCCGGTTTAGAGACCAGCAAGAGATGAAAGAACTGGTAAGACAGAGAAAAGGTTGCTAGTGAGGTAGAAGTAAAACCAGGAAAGAATGCTGTGTCAGTGTGGGAAGTATTTCATGAAGGAAGCATTTGCAATCAACTGTGAGATGTTGTAAAAACAAAACAAAACAAAATTAAAAAACCCACATCCCAAGAACAAAAAAACCCCCAAAAAACCAACACCCTATTTTCAACATTTGACATTTGTTTATGACAAATACCAGCTGGAATTGAAAAAGAGATGAGAATATGCATTTTCACATTATATATCAAAGCTTAAAAACCAGAACTTAATTAAAGTCTAAATATGTGTAAGAAAACTACTAAGTTGATACAAAAAAGGTCAAATCAATGAAGATACCATTGACACAGAATGAACAGAGAAAATCAACAACCTTGTATATTATCTGGAAAATGTAAATGAAAGAGTATTTTTTTCAAATAACAAATTAATAAGAGATATAATGCTCACTGTTGCTGAGGATAAAGACTAGTGGATAATCTCATACTCCTTTGAAGAGAACATTAATTGCTAGAAGATCAGTTTCCAACCCAAATGTGGTAGGTTTGAATCTATCAGCTGCTGCTGCTCGGGAGAAAGATGGGCATCCTCCTGTACAGCTCACAGGCTCTGAAAACCTTTTGGAGGGTCAGTTTTTTGTCCCGTCTAACTTGATGTGCACATAATAACACCAAAGAATTAAGCAGAAAACCTAACTGAGGGTCAGATATGTGTTGGTTCCAACTGATGGCACACAAAACATGTCAATATAGCATATCACTTTTAGTAGCTACTTGAAAAAATTATTGACACATGCACACACAAAAAAATCTGTGCAAAAGCATTAAAGACAGTATAATTTATAATACAAAAAAATTGCAAACACCTACATGCCCATTAGTGGGAAATAATTAGATAAAATCGAACATATTTTTAGTACAGAAGACGAGGGGAAGATAAAAAAATGCATTGATATCTGGATGCACTGAAGTGGAACAATCTCCAAAAGGTACTGTTAAAGTATAAAAATCAAGGTGCAGAAAAACACATATGAATGCTTCTACTTATATAAAATAAAAAGCCTATAATTAAGTATATTTTCATGAATGTTAACAAATGCACCAAATTATTCTCATCTGTACTGTTGTTTTCTCTAGATATAGGAAAAGGATTATAGAAAAAAGTTGGTTTTACTTTTTATTGTTTAGCTTTGCATTTTTTAAACTCTCCTCAATTTGCTATTGACCTTTGTTTAGTTTTTTTAAAAGGAAAATTGCAATCCTTTTCTTAAAATATAACATAGGCTGGAGAATTGCATTTTAGGACTCATTAATTAAGTCATCAAACATTTAAGTTCTTAATGTCTTTGTTCATCAATGTCTCTTTTACCCTGGAGATATTTTGTAAATACACTACACTTTTATTTTATAGCAGCAAGTTAAAAAAAGGCATAGTTCTGGTATTTCAAAGACCTTTTGCAGGGAGAGAGTTGTTGACAAACAAGCATAGAATGTGCATGTTATTTTCAAAACAGTACAGGTACATCAGGAATGTTGTGTGTACTTGGTATACAGCGTTACCTACCTAAAGCAGGGCCAAATTTTTATCCTTGTAAGCTTTATCCAGTAGAGGAATTAGGTTTCAAAGGGTCTCCTTTTTTGCAATGATTGACTCCTACTTTTATAAAATTCCTAACCTCCACAGAAAAATATCTAAGTCTATCTTCCTGCACTTCTCATGACAATACGACTAAATGTATGGCGTATGATACACAGGATGTGTCCGTAAGTCATTGCTAAACTGCTCTTTCATTGCTTTACAATTATACGGAAGATTTAAAAGAATAATAATGTATTAATTTACAAAATAGTACAACATGACTAAAGAAAATTTCTTGAGTTGCTCTCGAGACTCCCAAACCCCTTCTATTAGTGTTTCTGTGGAGAAAGGCCACGTTGTCTAACCAACTGACTTAACAAATGCGCTGCTGGAACATACGCTGTTTGTAAGTTGTCGACAGCCTGTACTTAGGCAACTGCTAGCTTAAATAGCTGAAAACTATCTGGCACCCACACAGAAGTTCATGTGCACACACTTTATGGTTAGATTCCTTCTATGATGCCTGCTAAGGCATAGTAATTAAGAGAGAATGTCAGCCTATACAAGTATCCTCTGAAGTCTTTCCAACAGCAGGAACCTCAATGCCATGCTAGACTTTAGCTACGAGGGAGTCTGCCCACACTGGTAGCAGAAAAATGGATTCCTAGTTCTGAACAGTTTCTGAGCTACAGTGTCTATATTTCACAGTGATTTCTGACTTATTTTCTTACACACACATTCAAATGAAAGCTTCTCAATTTTCAGCTGCTAAGAACAGCTGAATGTCGTTGACATCATCAGAAAAATGAAAGGCTTGTCTCCAAGAGGAAAGTGTTTTTTATAAACCACTGTGTATCCCAGGGCAGACAATATATATATATATACCATGAACAAGTCATCTTTGTTATAGGATGAACACATTTCTCTTATGCGGCTCATCACAGTTGAGAACATTCTAGCCCAGGGCTGCCAGATCATTCTCAGGGTGTGGAAAGAGAGATCATGACTGTTTACTGAACATTCAATACTAAAGTATCTCCCATCTCCATCCAACCTGTTTGCCCTCAGGTAAATCACTTGCTCTTTCCACACACATTCATATTTCCATTTCTTCCTCATTCTTTTCTCCTGGCCTTGAATGGCTTTCCTGATACTCCTTCATGTTTCAAATCTTTATAAAATGTTCTCCTGTGAAGCCTTTGATTGATTCCTCTAAACAAAATCAGTTTATTTCCTGCTCATAATCTCATTCTAGATGCCCCATTCCTCTATTATGTCCTTTGTTACGTGGCATTACTGTTGAGCATTTATTGTTCTGTCTTTATTGGTTTATCAGGTAATTTTATGTTCATTTTAAGACATCAGGGCATATGTCATTATTATTACTCCTACCTATACAAAATATTTATCAGCTGTATTAGAGTGTTTACTATGTGTCAGGCTCTAATACGAATATATTATCACAAATAAATCTGGGGAGATAAGCTTTATTTATCATCACTTTTTAGTGTTGAGATAAAAGAAACCAAGTAGTGAGAGTAAAAAAAAAAGTGTTTTACTTTAGAATTAGGCTTTTTGCCACTACCTTAAAATGTAATTTCTCAATAATGGTGAAAACCAATTTACTATGTGTTTATGTTTACTATGTGCTCTGACAGCTTAGTGAGTAACAAGTTGCACAGCTAACTGGAAGACAGCTGCGCCAAGGACTAATGATGGGCAGTTTGCTCTTGTGCAATTTACAGCCTCTGAAAACCTGAAGGAAGGTCAGCTGTGAGTTGGTTCAGAGTCAGTGGGATATAACAAGAACAACGGGTCAGTGCTATGTGTTCTCTATATAACTCCTCACCCAAAGAAAACCCCACAACTGAAACCAAAAAGATAAGACTACTGCAACCTAACACACAGCAACTCTCCTCTGGATTTCCAAGGCTTAATATCCTCATAGGAGTAGATATCTCATCTTTAACTTGTGAAGTCCTCAGTGGATTTGAACTACTAACCTTTGGTTTAGTAGCACTATGTATATATGTCACCAGAGCACATTGTGTGTTCTATATATGCATTAGTTAGTTTGATCCTCACTAAAGTTCAGTGATATTAATGGAGTAGTTAAGATCTCAATTTCTAAAAGTAAAACTAAAGTTCCAAATAGTTCAGCAATTTGTCTAATGTCACAGAGGTATGGGTGGCCTCCCTTGGAAGTTGAAATCCTTCCTCACTTAACTAGTTTATGAACAGATGAGAGAACCTTCTTTAATCTTTGCAAATAATACATAGGTTTTCAGGAATGACTGCCCTAGAAACAGAAAACTGGAGAGCTACCCTTTGTGAATACATGCTTTGATAAAATTCCCACATCCCCCCACCATGCACTCACCTTAGCACATGTGTGGATCCATTAATGGTTGTGGTTGAACAGGGGACAGTCTGGCCCAGAATGGAAGGTCTTCTATAGCGCTCATCATCACAGCAGAGGATGATGAGGAAGGCACGTCTAAAAGACTTATTCAAGAAGGCGTAGAGAAAGGGGTTCAATCCAGAGTTGATATAGCCGAGCCAGAGGAAGGCAGTCCACACCTGCTCAGGGACAGTGTAGTCTATGAAAGGATCCACAATGTTGGTGACAAAGAATGGAGCCCAGCAAAGGCAGAAGCAGCCCATGATGATGCACAGGGTCTTGGCTGCTTTGGTCTCCGTCCTCATGCGATGTGTGCTGTGCTGGTCTGCCAGCTGGGCCCTGCCCTCTGAGGGGGCGCCTGCTCGTTGCAACATCTGGATCTGGTGGGCATGCTCCTTAGCTGTGACATAGATGCGATAATAGGCCAGCACCATGAGGAGGAACGGGATGTAGAAGGCCACCACGGAGCAGGTGATGGCGTAGGGCTTGTTGACCATGAAGACACAGTTCGTAGAGTTAGAGCTGTATTTGTACTTTCTTTGTTCTATCTGAAAGTTGGAGGGAAGGAGGGAAAGACAAAGTGAAGAGGAAGAAACATGTGGAGAATGAGTTTAAAAAAAAAAGATGAGAAAGAAGAGGAAGAAACAGAAGATTAAGAGACAGAAAAAGGGGAATGGAAACATTAAAGGAAAGGAAAGCAAGAATAAATGGAAAAGGAGCAAAGGAAAAGGAAAGAAAGTTATCACCACAGTTTCATTTGTATTTTATAAAACTACAACACATATAACTTTTATGGTAGAAAAAGAACAGTATATCTCAGTGTTCAAAGAATTTGTCTATGAAAGCTTCAGGTAAGAGCTGATATAAAATAGAGGCAAAAGTCATTCTTTGTTTCATGTATTCAACTCATAATAGAGGGCTGCCTGCTTTCTCCCTCTCTTGTCTGCTTGCACATATTATACAAGAGTCTCTTAGAAGGGTGTTTGTGGAATGACCTGGGAAGCTTATTATAAGATGCCTGCACTTCTCAACCAGATTTCTAGGTCTAAATTTTGGAGTTGTGGAGGAGATTCAGATGTCATTCAATTCTTCTTTAGTTAGCAAGTTGTTTATAAACGTCCAAAGGGGAGAGTAAGGCAAAGGGTACAAGAGGGGGATAATCACTGGGATGGCAGAGTTTGGAGGGCTGAGGGAGGGAGTGAATAAATTAAGAAAAATCCAATGAGGACCTGAAAAAAGTGTAACAGTATTCATAGATCAATGATGATTAATACTTTAAGACACAGTCTGTAGGAATGATAGTGTGAAACACACTGTAAATGAAGGAATGTGTGAAACACAATGTACATGAATGTGACAGTGAATATGAATTTTGTATGCAAACCAATGTAAAATAAAAAATTAAATAAAAACAAACAAAAATTAAAAAAAAGAAAAGAATTCTAAAGTTCATTACTGAGAGCTCTGGAGGCCTAGTGGCAAGAAGCTGTGCTTCAATCCTGAAAGCACTGGTTTCAAGGCCACCAGCTGCTCCATGGGAGAAGGATGAGCAGTCTCCTCCCCATGCGATTAACTACCTCTGAAGACCCGCTGGAGGGTTGGTTCCGACTATATGGTCCACAAGAACAACAACAAATTACCAAACTACCATTTCAGAACCACAGCTCTCTGCCAGTCTAAATCTATCTCTTTGAGGGACTTCAGGGTCACTGCTAGATTAATTTCTCTGCTTTCTATGTTCTCGATATCATTTTTGTAGCAAAGTATTCATGTATTGGTATAGAATGATAGCCAAGGTGACCTTAAATTTATAGAGAGAAATGATAGAGATTTTGAAATCACAGGAGAAAAGATTGCATAGATTGAATAGGGCAAGGTCACAAAGGATTTTGGAATCCAACCACGAGATAGGACCCAGGCAACATTTGTTTCTGCAACTAACCCTCCTCCCATCTGTTCTCTCTTAAACTCATGCTAGGTAGTTATTCATCCCAATCGTGCTATTGAAACGGCTCAGTTCAAGGGATTAATGACCTCTAGGTTGCTCTATCTCCTCACCCATGCTTTTAAAAACATTCTTCAGATATTTTATTAAAATAAAATGCATATAAATCACAGAAATATTAAGTTCACATACTAATAAATTATTACAAAGTAAATGCATGCATAATTATAACTCAAAGCATGCTATGCAATATTATTAGCAGTTCATAAAACTTGCAAATGTCCCTTTCAGTCATTAGTCTCAAAGGTAGTCATGGATTACTTAATTATGATGCATTGTACTCACCATGGATCAATTATGTTTTCCAACTTAATATTAATGAAATAATAAAGATTGGGCTCTTCTCGTTTACTTCTCCCATTCAACTTGAATCTGAGATCCTTTCATATTATTGCGTGTACCAGTAATTTCTTGCTTTTAATTATAATATCGCATTGTAGAATTAAACTATAATTAAACATTTCACTGTCAATGAATGTTTAAATTGTTTTTCGTTTGGGGATTTTGAATAAAAATATTGTGACTATTCTTATAAAAGTTTGTTTTTATTTTTTGCATGTGTGTGTACATATATTTTAATTCCTCATAGGCATATATTTAGGAGTGAAATTTCTGTGCATGGACTGCCAAAAGAACAAACAAATCTGTCTTGAAGGAAATGCTGCCAGAGTTCCCTGTAGAGGCAAAGATAGTGAAACTTCATCTCACTTATTTTGGGCATGTTATCAGGAGAGGCCCATCCTTGGAAAAGGACATGAAGTTTGGAAAAGTAGAGAGTTAGGAAAGGAGAAGACCATCAAAGAAAAGGATTGACAGTTGGCTACAACAATAAGTGAGGATGGTGAAGGCAATTCTTTAACCTATTGTCTAATAGGTTACTATGCATCACGTTGACTCAACAGCACCTAACAACAACAACATAACACACAGACAAGAATTCTCAGGTGGTACAAGTAATTGACGCACTCATCTGTGAAATGAAAGGGTGGAAAACTCAGCCCCTCAACTTGGCAATCTAAACATCTAAAAAATTTCTGACAAATCAGCCTTTGAAAATTCTAACAGTTCCATTCCCACAACAACTGAGTTTCCAATAGTTGGAAATGATTCAGTGGCAAAAATGGTAAATATTGCAAAATTGTTTTCCAAAGTGATTGTATCAATTTATGTTTCTACTAGTGGGTCTGTCCAGTTCCTTCCAATCCTTACAGCACTTGGTACTGTCAGTGTGCACTGGCACTTTCTGGTGGTTGTTGGTTTGTTTAATATCACTGCAAAGTACATTTGATTGCATCAGTAAATCACTCTTTATATGTACTTGACTTTCTTTCTACTGAGTTTAGATTGGAATTTGTCTTGTACTCTAAGCTTTGTTATTGGTTTGTGTCCTGGGCATTACTGTCAGTGAGCTAGTCATCCACTGATATCATTGCCTTCTAAATACATTTTTGACTAAGCTTTGGTTTTCATTCCTCCTTGCTATAAGAGCATTGTCATAAAAGTTATGCAATATTGCTCTGTTTTTGTCAACTCAAATTCCTCTTTCTGTGTTATTAATTTCAAAGTCAAGAACACCATCTCATTCTGTTAGTTCTGTTCTCTGATTCCATGGTTGTCATGACCTTCTAACCTGCTAACATGTGTGGGTGTGTGAATACACATGTTCTTGAGAATCTTTTGTGACATAGTAGGTTAAATGATGGACTAATAAATGAAAGGCTGAAACTCATATCTACTCTGTGGGAGAAAGACGAGTCATTCTGCTCTTGTTAAAATGAACACCTTCTGAACCCTAATGGAAATTCACCGTAACTTGGACTCTACCCCATGGCACTGGGTTGGCTTTAATGCATTGTTGTTGTTATGTGACATCAGGTTGCCTGTGACTCACAGCAAACCCATGTACAAGAGCCCTAAACCTTGCTCTATCCTGTGCCAATCTCATTGTTTCTGACACACCTGCCCCCATTATTACCCCAGTCACTGAATCAATCCATCTCATCAAGGGTCTTCCTCTCCTGGACTGTCCCCCCACCTCCCAAGCATGACGTCCCACTCCAACGACATCTCTCCTTGCAACATGTCCAAAGTATGTCAGACGAAGCTTCAGAATCCTTCCCTCCAAGGAGTATATAATTAAGGGCTTTGATATATTCTTGGTATTATTTTATTAGCTGTGCACATATTTTGTATGATGTTGTTAAGTACTACAGAATCAGCTGTGACCCTATATACAACAGGGAAAAAACCACTGCCTAATTTTATACTTTTATCACAATTATGTTGTTGTTAGGTGCCATCGAGTCAAGCACAACTCATAACAAGCCTCTGAACAAAAACCTCTGTTCTATCCTGTGCCATCCTCACACTTCCTGACACACAAGAGCCCACTGTAGCAGTCACCTTATCAATCTACCTGGTTGAGAGTCTTCCCCTCCTTTGCCATTCTCAATCCTTCCCAACATCATGTCCTTTTCTATGGACTAGCATAGCACCTCCTAGAAACATGTCCAAAGTATGTGAGGCAAAGCCTCATCATTCTTGCCTCTAAAAAGCACTCTGGCTCCACCTTCTCCAAGACCTATCTGTTTATTCTCTTGGCCATCCATGGGATGTTCAGTGTTCTTCTCCAACACCATAGTTCAAAGGCATGAATTCTTTCTTGTCATCTTTATTCATTGTCCAGCTCTCGGATGCATACCTGAAGCTGTTGAAAGTCTCAATCTCCTCCCCATCCATCATGACACTGCATATCAGTCCAGGAGTAAGAATCTTCATTTTCCTGACATTGAGATTGCAATCCATACTGAAGGCTGCATTCTTTGATCTTCCGCAACAAATGTTTCGAGCCCTCCTCACTTTCAGCAAGTAAGGTTGTGTCATCTGCATAATGCAGGTTATTAATGTGTGTCCCTTCAACCCTGATGCCACACTCCTACTAATAGAGTCCAACTTCTTGAGTAATTTTCTCAGCATACAGTTTGAATAGGTATGTAGAGAGAGTACAAATTTGGTATATTCCTTTCCCAATTCCAAACCATGTCCCCTGCTCTGTTTGCACAACAGCCTCCTGGTCCAGGTATAGGTTCCACATGAGCACAGTTCAGTGCTCTGAGATTCCCATTCTTCTCAATGTCAGCCACAACTTGTAATGATACACACAGTCAAATGCCTTTGCATAGTCAATAAAACACAAATAAACATTCTTCTGGTATTCCTTCATTTCAGCCAGGATCCATCTGCCATCAGCAATGATATCCCTGGTGCCATGGCCTCTTTTAAATTCTGCTTGAACTTTGCTGAAGATTATTTAAAAAATGGCTGGAACAGAATATAGATAAGAAACTGCCAGAAGTACCTCACAATCAAACCACAATATAATATTCTGATATTATTGTGTACCATTAAGTCAGAATCAACACATAATCGACAATCCAGCAGGTTTTCAGAGACAATAAATCACATGGGAAGAGATTGCCCCTCCTTATCCTGTGGAATAACTGGTGGATTTGAGTCACATGCCTTTGGGATCGTATCACAGTT